TGTCAATCCCACAGTCCTGTCCCCCCAACAGGAACCATAGTCTCCCCTTATCCCATTAAAACAATTGCCAACACTGGCATTGAAGCATGTGCACGTGCGTGTGAGTGTGTGTGTGTGGGCATGCAACCACACACACACACACACACACACATATACGGACAAATGCACACAAATATACTGATCCTTACACACACTAAGCAGAGAAAGAGTAATTTCAAAATCAATCCCTTAGGAAAAAAGAGAGAGGAAAAGAAACGAACCTCCACCAGTGTTGGCTGATTGTAAAGGACTGTCAGTTACTGCAGTCTTTTATTGGGCCAAAGGGAAGCAGCAGGATTCAACTTGGGGCCCAGTAGAGGGCTATTCTTCCTGGAAATCAGCCCTCGCACATGGACTTGAATGCCCTGCGTCGCTAATCTTCTGAGCTGTGGGAGCCCACTCTATATTCACAGGATGTGCCTCCACAGCAGGCGTAGCCACGCATGCTGATGCTATACACTCCAAGCCTAACGCTCAGGTGATCACAGGGTTAAGTGCACCAGAACCTCACCATATATCGGTCAGACGTCTCAAATGAATTATTTAAAAGTGAAGATAAAGACTCCTCCGGACAAGGAAAAGAGTAAAAAGCTTTGGGATCTCTTCAAAACTCAAGGTATTTTTGATATACGTTGAAGGAGACTGTGAGATGTTTAAACTTCAGGACAATTAATTCATTCCAAAATAAACACTTATTCAGCAAGTTGTTGTTTTTTCTCAAAGCAGAAGCATATTAAAAATATCTAGAGCTGTAGGGAACATTTTCCAGTGATTACTAAATATATTTCTTCACAGTTGGTAATCAAATCAAAGATCCTCTTTGTGGAGATTTTTTATCCTAAATAGTTGCCTGACAAAACGATCTTGGAAGTGAAAGCAGTGAAGTCAGATTAAAAACTGACACATTACACTACTTTAGGACCAACTTTGAACCTTTGAACAATCTTCCTTTGGAAATGCTACACACCTGGTTATGGTCTTGCACTCAGACTTGGTCCAGTGATCTCAGGATTATTCTAGTACATCAAGTATTTAGCAGTGACCCCAAGCAATGTTTTTTCCTGTCTGTAATACTTTTTTTTTTGCTATTTTTGCTTTCTGGGTAGCAAGCTTTATTGAAATAATCCCTCAGTTTGTTTCTATTATATATTTTTGGTGAGTCAGTATAGTCATCACCTTTTACTAATTTACTGACTGTTTCATTATCATTACAATTCTATTGCATGTGTGCAATACAAAGTAAAAAGTATGATAAAAAACTGCAAAAGAGCTAAAGATGTCTGAATCCCAATGGGAGGATTTATCTTATCCCTGGCTGTGAACTAGCACCTTTACTTTGATAAACAGGGGAAATGTTTATGGATGTCCCTGCTGCCCTCTAGTGGACATATACATGTATATAAAAAGCACCAATAACCCTGAAATGACAGGGCAGATTTTGCACTGAAAATCTGCTGTTAGACATCATCGCATAATTTTTAATGTTGCCTTACTATCAGTGGAAACAGTTTTTCTTGTCCTGTCAGAATTTCTGTATATTGTTTGCTTTAAAGTAATTCATACATATGTGTTTAAGTCATAAATAGCAGAAAAAAGAAGAGTAAAGTTATTTGAGAGGATTTTATTTTGAAGGTAGACTTGCCAGCTACATCACTTCCTGCTGCTGTCGTCTTTACATTCTTTTCCTGGTTTCTGCAAGTGGTAAAACCCACATGCTGTTCATAAGACAGACTTATCCACAGCTACTCACTTGTAAACATTGTTCGGGGAACGCCGTGCGTTTATTTAATTATGAAGAGGTTAAAAAAAAACTTAAATAGCGTTGATTGTTAAAAACTTAATGTATAACTTGAAAGGTACACTTGAACATGTTAAAAGAGATTTTTTCTTATGATTATTAGTGACTCAAAATTAATATTTTGAGTTGTTCCAAATGCAATATCTATACAAATATAGATCTTTTCTTGTTTTGTATTTCTTTAACTACCGATTTCACCGCTTGTCAATTAGATTGAATAATTCTACTCCAAGTTAATTGCTTTAATATGTTTTTGACCAAATATAATGTTAAATCCTCAGGCCCGGCCTCAGGTCATATAAATAAAGCATATTGTTTTCCACACCTTCGAGATTAATTAAAACCAGTTTTACATGTAATCCCCAAAACGACTATCAAAGTGACATCTTTGCATCTTCAGAATCCAGAAGCTTTACATTATCAAATTGTTGCTAAAATGTATATTGGAGTTTCCACATGGCAACTTTTTCAGTTGGTTAACGATTTCCCTGAAAAGTGGTCAGAAAACCAGCATATTTACGTACGAGTGATGTGTTGAGCCTTTTATGAAACCAGATACATATTAAGAGTGCTAAGGTCCCTGGATTTATTCTCTCAGTTTTCATTGGGGGGATTCTAATAACTTTGTCCAAAAATTAACTGGCATTTCACTGATATGTAATCTGTGTGGAACGCCTAATTAGCATAGAGTTTACTTGTAGTGTATTTCACTATAAACCATTAAGTGACTTCTCATGCCAACAAAATGGAAGCCATCATCCTGGAGAAGGCCATTCCCATACAGACAAGTCCTCATAAACTCTAAGGGGATCAGTCAGAATATCATAATTCAGAATTTTTCCTCTGAGGGGACAAGCAAACCCAAACCATGACTCCAGTGCTGTTAAACCATATCTGCACTGAAGCAGTGAGTGAGTTTTCTCTTCTTTCAGCATGTGTTAATGAAGGTGCAAATGCTTTCAGCCTTACGAAGGCTCAGAAAAATGTTTCATCTTTACTGGGCGAGTCTGACGATGAGCTGCTAGTTTGAAACCTTAAGCCTTGCCTTAAGCTTGAAAGTTTGGTGTGTTTACGTCTCCTTCGTGCAGGTCTCAAGTTGTGTATTATCCTCTCTGCTAAAGTTTGTACATTTGCTTAGCATATACAACTAATGATTGTGATAAGCTTCCTTCACCATATTTATACTGAAATGAGGAAAAAGTCCATAAGGGTCAAGATCAGAGGAACTAATTATTCATATTTCTCTTGGTGTACTCAATGAGAGAGTGAACCTGTATGTAGTTTTCAACAGTTTAGATTGGGAACACAGAAAAAGGGAGACGGACTGACTGCTTTATGTACTTTCTCATTCCAGTGGTACTGCTATATAAACAACCACCTCTTATATATCACACCGTTCATGCTGAATGCACTTCTGGTTAGATGCTAAAGTGCATTCCGTTGCTCTGTTCCCGTACATGTGCGACTAATGAAGTTCTATCTAATCTAATGAAGAATTATAAGAAGTAAAAAAAATCCTGTTGGTAGTTGATATCTAAAGCTTTTTTTTTCAGAATAAAAAAAAACATTTATAGAATATCTTCAAGTAAGCAAGTAAAAATAAATAAATGAGCAAAAGAACAAAACCAAAAAGTCATAGTGGATATTAAAAAGTCGTGAAGCAGGATAACATAAACAGTACATGTCACACGGGGCTAGGACACACCATACTGGGTCATGCTGCTCTGGGAGATTTATTTAGTGATTTTCCTTTTTTTGTTATTTGCTTTTATTGTTATTAGGCTTTTCACTTGTGCTCCTGTCAGGAGTGTGGTAAATGGACAGTTAAGCAGCAAGAGTCACAGTTCATCATCATCATCATTGTCACCACCATTATAACATCCTCTTTATGGTATCATAATAATAATTTTCGGCATTATATTGTTTGACTTTTTCCTCAGGCTAGAAAATAATTTACATCACATTGTTTTCACTAACTTTTGAGACCACAAACATTCCAGCAACACTCTAAGATTAAGGGTGAGTAACAATCAGAAAAAGCATGACTTTTTGCATAGTATTAAATGAACAAAGACATTGAGTTCTTTATTTACAATTATTGTATAGATAAAAAAAATGTCATAAAAACGAGATGAACACTTATTTCACTTACCCATAAATGGCTAAGTATGCCAAAGAGCTATCTGTTGGCTTTTCTCTTTTTCTTTGTTCCACAAACTGCATGCTGCTAAATACAGTACATCGAGGCAGGTGAGAGTATATTGCAAGAAGTGTCATTGATATCATCATTGGTGTCAGCGACATAATGATTGGTTGTTACAACATGTTATGATTTGGATGTAATCATAATATTTTGAAGTTTCTGACAGAAGCCATGAATTATTAGGTACAGCATAACAGCTGTGTCGGCAGTATGACTCGTGGTGGTGGAGCATGATGGTGGATGCAGTCAGGAAGAATTCCTGTTTTCGCTCCAGTCCGATTTGGAGTTTCTGTCCTCGGTAGACCCATCACTGTATTTACAAAACTTATTCTGAACTTTGTTTCATTGCATCTTCTTAAAGCTGAATGTTCTCCTAGGTGTAAAAGTGGTTTGAGAATGTCAGCTTAAGTCTTTATATATATATATATATATATATATATATATATATATTGAAAATTCTACTGTTATGTTTTTTGTTTTATTTATTGTTTTTACTTTTTACAGACAAAATAAAGCGGTCAAGGTGAAACATTTGAAAGAAAACAAAGTAAATCAACAGCTTCTAAGGAAAACATCAGAATCAAGGCCGTTTTCTTCCAACTTAAATAAGACAGATTTATTTATGACCATTTGACTTTTTCGACATGCCTGAGCTGACTGGTAGAGCTTGTGGATCCTCTCCAGAAGGATGGATAAGCTGGCCAATGACAGAGGAGGAAGATATAAAAAAAAAGAAGTAACTGTTAAAATAAATTATTGTTTACTATATAGGGTTTTTTTTAAATACAAAAATTGGGAACTCTTTCCAAGTTGCATAATGAGCCTTTAACATCATGCCACTGACTTTGATTAGTAGTAGAAATAACAACAGAGGAGGCTAGTTAGGTGCCCTTGCCTTTTGAGTGCAATAAGACATGTGCCTTCTGTATATGACTTTTCTCTGGAAAGTTCTGATTGGTCAAAGCACAATAAATAGTTTACAACTAGTGAGTACAGTTGAGATGCAAGAGTACTGTATAATCTGTGACGGCAGGAAGACAGGCTTGGTTAAAACACACAAAAGCACATCTAGAGTCACACCACAGAATTTTTCAGTCAAAACCAGATAGTGCAGAATTTTTCATATATATATATTTATATATATATATATATGCATTTTTATATCTATTCATCTATCTATCAATCTTTATATAAATCGATAGATAGATATTTATATTAATTTACATATAGAAAAAAGTCAAAGCAACATTCCATTTTAGTTGTAATTTGTTGGGGTTTTTTGTCAGCTTTTACTTTTTTAGATATTAAAAATCACAACAGCTTTCTGGAGCTATTTTGTGTTTTTCTACAATATGAAAAACTTGTTCAAACCAAAATAAATTTAAATTAAACTAAATAAAAAGAACATATTATATTCCAAATGTTTAATAAAATGTATGATTTCATTGGAGTATAAATAAACCAAATGGAACTATGGAAATTTCTAATAAAACTCAGTTACAGCCTACTGATCATCACGTTTATCTTTAAAATATCAACTTATTTGAACAAGCAATACTCCAAAGAGGACAAGTAAAAATGTCCTGATATCAGCCTTTGAATTGAGTGAATTTTTTTTTTAAATGTTGAAAAAAAAGAAAAACAACGAAATATCCTCCTCTGTCACAAAAAGGAGGCTTCCGTTAAGCAAAACCGAAGGCAAGCCGCTCCTACTTGATCCCAACAATCATATAGAGTAATACTAAGATTCCACATGTACTATGCATCCCATTATATTTTGGTTTCTTTTTGTTGTTGATCCTCTAAAAATATCTACATTATTTGACAATATAGCAGGCAAATTCCAGCACATGGTTTTTCAGTAATAACACACTGACACAACTCGGAGCTCCAACTTCACCCGCCTCCTTTTAGAAACCAAGAAGTTTATCTCTACGAGGTTGTAAACAATTACATTCTCTTTAAGACATAAATAAGTCAAAGTAATTCGAGCCATTGAAGCAGGAACAAGGCAACATGCCAACAAACAAAGATAAATTCTCTAAATATATTTATATGAATTTATATGTATAGAATATTTCCCATAAATGCTATCATCATTAATATTATTTTGCGTTCCTCTTTTTCAACAGGTGCAAAACTACTGTGCAAGTTGAGCCCTACCACCTGGATAAAACATTTGTGTTTATGGATTAAATTGATTTTTACAGTCTGGAACATGTTCATGCCACACAGAGGAGGAAAATTTGCAGGTCAGGAACTAAGAGAAACGGTCTTAAATTTGCAGTCCACTGCGAGACCCAGCCCATCCGAACCAAAGAACTCCAACAAAATTAAACCCTTTTAAATAAAACTTGGGTAATGTACATTCATGCAGGAGCAATAAGAATAATAACAATAATAATCAGAATCAGAATAATAACAACAGTTTTCAATTTAATTTAAACTATGACTGTATCAGTATTAACAATGTTATTGTTGAAGAGAGAGTTTAAAGTCCTGTTTTGTGGTGTATATTCCTCAACAGTCTTCCACCTCAATGTCCTCCTCTTGGTGCCGCGGCAAACACGTCATACACACAGGGTTTTCTGCCACACGCTTATACAGTACATGCTAACCAGTACAAGCTTATAGTCATACATAGAACCATGGGTGGCACCATTCGCATACAACCACAAAAGCAGAATGGCTGTGTGGGTATTGTGGCTTTGTTGCGCTTTTTTGATTGTATGTTGTTGTTTTTTTGTTTGTTGTTTTTTTGTTTTTACCTTGTCATATCACTAAGCATTGCCCATTTTGAAAGGAGACAAGAGCTTTATGGGGTCAATGTTACAAGAAGGGGGGGGACGTTTTTCTCACAGGACCTTTCCTGTGCTGATGATAAATGTTGCTTCAGGGGACAGGAGAGCTGGGAGAAAAAAAATTATATGGAGCCAAGGTCTTCAGTAACCGTTATAGGTCTAGAAGAATTTGAGGAGATGCCACTTGACTGAAGAGGTTTAAACTGAGTTTAGGATCAGGGTTAGAGGCTGGTCTCCAAGCTGTGCAGAGGGCTGGCTGGGCTGGAGGAGGCAGCAGATTTACTGATGTCGATGGTGAGGTTGATCCCACTATCAATGGCGTTGTTGTTCTTGTTAGGAGACGAAGGCTGGCTGGAGTACTTCCTTCTCCTTCGGGCAGAATCATCATCCGTGTCATCAATGAGAGGGATGTTGGGTGTGGAGTCTTCTATCCTAAATTCAGGTTGCGCCATGAAGTTGTGGATGGATGTTCTGGAGTCTGGTTTTTCCAGGCCTTCATAGAGGGAGCTACGGAATGCATTCACCACTCTGATCTGTTGTGGAAAGGAGATGGAAAATGAAAAAAAAAAAAACATGAGAGGTGACATAAAAGAATCAAAGGTCTGGAAGCAACCTCTGGGATGACAAAGAGAGGGAGGTTGTAGAGAGAAGGAACAAAGCAGAGGATAAAAATCCTCTAACTTGAGATACAGGAGTTTAAGAAGAGGAAAAAGAAGGTGAAACGACAAAGAAGGCAACTGCAGTCTGTGTTCTGCTTTCACAAGATGACTAGGTCACAAGTCACTGAATTTTGGCGTGCACGAAGGAAAAAAGTGAGGAACACAATCATAAAAAACACAAGAAAAACATACATTTCAAGGGAAACCAAAGTAACACAAACGCTCGTTGTAAGTATACGCTTTAGTCCAATGTGCTGTATACCTAGAAACAAGCCACGTTAATAAATGGAATGCTCACATGAAAATTAAAGGAGAATATCACATGCAAGTTTGAAGATATCTGGTGGACGAGGTCAGTAAGAAGGAAGGAGGTTAGATCTGAGAGATCCAATCAGGCAGTTTAAAAACTTCAGGGGGTACCAGAGCTCTGTCTGCGATAATATCCACACAGACTCTGGACTGGTCACATAAATATAGCAAAGGGTGGGTGAAGCATGGTACCAAATGGAGCGAGCCATATCTGCATACCGCTGGCTCAACACAAGCAATGCAGTGTAAAACTCACACCATCACGACACACAGTGGTATGTAGACAAAGAGCAAACACAACAGGTTAAAATATTATGAACACAAAAGTAAACATACTACATGCAACGAGACAACAGTATGAGGAAGGGGGACACTGCAACATGAACACTTGACAATAGCGTATGAATAATGAAAGTACGTTTTTTTCTCGCCAGACGGCTGATGGTTAAAGAACGTTCCAACTCCATGCACACCAAGTATAACACTCAAGTATAAATGTGCTGGTATAATCAAATCCCATAATCATGTCAACACTGCGGAGGAGTCAAAAAGAGGAGTTGCATCATCTTATTCACATTAGAAATGTACGTTTGCAACGTATGATCTTGTGGTAATTTTTTAGTTGAGGATTACTTACAACTGGCTACTGGACAAATACAGAGTAAATACATAGCTTATAAGTTTGTATATTAAGATGTTTTTTTATCCTAATGAAAAGCTAGATCCCAAAAAATATACATACGTTTTCTATACAATAATTGATTATTCCAATTCAGGGTCGTGAGGGGCGCTGGAGCTAATCTCATTCTACAGTGGGGGCGAGAATAATGTATGTATTCTTATTATTCTTAAACTATCAAACTTTGGATATAACTGGATAGTTTTTTTTTCATACATGGAAACAGATTATCACAGTTTAAGGATTTATTCTTAAAATGTTTTACCAAACAAACAGTCTAAAACTAAATATTATCAGTTTCTGTTGATACAAAACCGGAAGAAATGTCTACATTTATAAGATGTAACAATAAGTGTGGTAAATAACTAGTAAATAAGACTGCAGTGACTCGGGAGCAGTTCTTAAAAACATGTTCACTGACTGTAAGATGCAACGTTACAAAATGTCTGTGGTGGAGCTCGTTCATGGTAGACTAAGGCAAAGTTTGTCCTGTTGTAGCCTATAACAAATTTAAATTCAAAAGTGTTTTTATGCTAAAAATATGTTAAACACATTGCACATATTGCATTGCATCCCTGCTGCTAAAGTAACTATAGGAGGGTGAGGTATAAGGAGACACCACATGTAAAGAAAATGATAATAACAAAGAAGAGCCTGCTCAGATGAGTGTATGTGACAGGATGTCTGACAAGTAACACTGATGGGGTGTTAGAAAAGGGTGGGAAGGGGGAGTAAAATCTTTGCTGCTGATGCTGCAGAGAATCTGTCTGTTACTATGGCAACATGATAGCCAATTGCACTGACAATATAAAGCAAAAAGATGGGATGAACTATTGGCACAGCGGTACCTTCTGGTGACTGTATTTTCAGATATCCTAAAAACTGTATTTCAATTGATTTGTTTCAAGCAGATCAAGATTAAACTAATACAAGACTGGTGAGTTATTGCGTGGAAGAGAGTCACAAAAAGAATTTAGTGATACTGAAATCATACATTATTTTGCATTATTTCTGTTTCTCCCTTGAAGTTTTTCTTCAGAATTAAAACAAAACACATATCTTAAAGGTTTCACGAGGCTAAATCCAGACATATTTACTGTGTTTTCAGCTTGAAATAAATGATCTTCCTCTTCATTTGATGAAAGAAAATGCATTAAACAGTTACTAAAATTGGTCTCTTCACAAGTAATGTGTGATTTTTCCAGATTAGTAAAAAACCTAAAGATAGACCGAAATAAGATAACCGTGCCACTTATACTTGAATGTTCACCAAGTCCCTTTGTGAAGTGATTGGAATTAGTTTACATTAACGTCCGTCATGACTTGACATAGGAGAACTGAACGATGGGATGGCGTATGAGGTATGAGCAGAGGGAGACAAACTCACAACCTGAAATGTCACGCCGTGGGTATCACCCTTAGTCCTGCGCTCCTAGCACTCTGGGGAAACAAACACACATTGACCAATGAGAAGACAGTACACCCAACCATGGGAGGAGATATCAAGATGAATTTGAAATCCAGTATGAACAGCAACAAGAAAGCGGACGAGAGCAAATGAAAAAAGCACACAGCAACAAAAGAAAAAGCTAAATCTTCAGGGATGCCAACCTCAGAATAATTAAAATTGCGGTAGTTTTTTTTAGAAAATGTGTGACTGGATAGCACCCCTGAAGCAAAGAGAGCAGACAAGCAGACTGACAGAGTTCTGACTCACGGTCAGTAGTGGGAGGAGCAGTAGCAGCAGTAGTGCTTGTAGGAGAAGAAAGGGCATTGGACAAGGACACGTGACTAGGACTAGAAACATTGGTTACATCCTGGGTCTGGCTGGTGGTGGATGACTGGCGTCTCAGAGCCCCTGCCCCCTGAAAGGAGGTTCCGCTCTTGAAGGTGTTGACTACGTCAATCTGTGAGAGGAGAGCAGGACAGGAGAGGACAAATGGCTGCTCAGAGTGACACACACCAAATGGCAACAGGGGTTGACTGACTGGGTAAAGGGAGCACAGTGTGTCGTGATGCAGGGGACAGGTACAGGTCAGGGAGGTCAGGGTTTTGTGTACCAAAAACAAAATGGTAAACTTATTTGAAGCGCCATGTAACCCAAATAAAGAAAAAAACATGTTTTTCTTGTAGTCATGGACATACTCTTGTGTCAAGTTTTTAATATTTCTGCCTTGACCTTCGTAAGGTAGAACAATGCATGGCCAGGTGTTAGAAAAAACTTCAGGACATTAAGCTTAAACATCTGAAAGACAGAGATTGTGATCAGGCTAGTGATTTCTTCCTGTGAATTTGGTGGTTCAATACTTTAAATCAAAACCATGCAAAGGTTTAAATTGCACATAAACAGCCATCTTCCACTACATGTTGGTTTGAGGCATAACCACACACTGTAAATAAATCTAGAAAAAAAATTGCGTTGTATCTACATTCATAATCAATGAATGTGAAGAAGAACATTTTAAAATGAATGAGTACATTGACATAACTGAAAAAGTGCTGGTTGCAAAGATGCAAAAAAGAAGTTCAGTTGAAATCACAATTTAGATTATCCTTTTTTTATATACTTAACTGCGTCCGTCAACCATACCATGCTGTGGGATAGCGTAAACCATGACCATCAGTGACACATCAGTGAGATGAAACGAAATTTAACAGTCGGTCAAAACTGTCTTGATTATCACAGTGATACCGGTCTGCAGAGTTCATCACAGTGACAAAAGTACAGAGACGGTTTCCTGTTGTGTATAACGTTGTAGTTCGAGTGTCACAGGTCCATAGTGACGATCGCTGTCTTCCAAGGGAAAAGCTGCATCTTGATGTTCCTACATGAGTCATCTTGAGATAAAATGACTTTAAAGGCTGCATCTGATAAAAATGTGCATCCAGTGACAAATAATAACAGTCAATCATTTCCTCTTAGGAATATGTATTTCAAGAAATGGTTTTAAGTCGGGGGAACTTTATTAAATTGGATATTCGTCAATTAAATAAAAAATTTGCCTATAGTTGATTATCTAAAAGATTAAAACATTTTTTAGTAATGATTTTTTTTTATGTGTAACAGCTCAAATTACACATGTTGTTTGAGGTTAAATCCATCCTGTTGTCCTGTACATAAGCTGACATGTCCTCACCTGAGTCTGTATGCGGTTGAGTCCTCTGAACCAAAGAATTTGTCCTCTCCTCAGCTCCCTTTCTGCATGATCGATCTCCTCATTGTCCTCATTCACATCCTCTTCGGGTAACTCATCTTTTTGAGTTAACTGGCCAGCCCTTCTCAGGAAGCGTAGCCTGCTATTGGGTATGGTGGCTATCACCTGACACCCAGGGAAGGCAGAACAATTAGTTAAAAGGAAAATTATCTATGCACAAGAGTGACACAGTGCACAAAAATAAATAAAATCGAATAATCAATAGAACGACAATAAAATTAAAGACTTCCACATTACCTGTCCCCAGACAAGCTCTCCCAGCCCCAGGAAAACGCACCACATCCATTTTTCAAGATTGAGAGGTTGACAGCTGAATGGTTTTCCTCCAAACTGCACAATCACAATCTGCAGAAAACAACACACACAATGTATATTCAGAATAAAGGATATTTACCTTGAGTTATATTGAAAGAAGACAATAAGTATCAAACGGATCAAATAATTAGCTGTGTACCTGTACAGCAAATGTTCCAAAAACGATGGAGCAGAAGATGGGGTTTCTAAAGATACCATCAAAGACATTCCTCTCTCCATGTATTTTCCGGGCATTTATCTCATTAAACAGTTGCATCATGACAAAGGTGTTGAAGATGATAGTGTAGTGCTCAGACGGAGGGGAGTGGAGAGGAGCATCGCGGCCACTATCAATATCAAAGATTTGCTCGCCTAGAAGTTCAAATGACAAACATAATATGTTTGTACATAATACATTGACTTTTAACCTATATGATTTCACCATAAACAGCAGAGCAAATTCACAAAACATACCGACAAAGAGTAGGGTGAAGATGATGATTAGCTGATAGACTCCATGTCCTAATATGTTCTTGGTCATAGTGCTTGAAATGAGGGGCTTATTGCGACCGTACGGTCTCCTCCTCAGCAGAGACTCTGTTGGAGGCTCTGTCGCCAGGGCCAAAGATGCAAAGGTATCCATGATCAGGTTCACCCACAACATCTGCACTGCCTTCAGTGGAGAGTCCTGGACAAATGAAGAAAGTGGGGATGGATTAGCAACTGGAGACATTTTCATAGACCCTTTACCTTCTGAAATTAAGTATAATTTTTAAGTTCAGTTTGCTAAAATAGAGCCATCAGGAAGATCAGGCATAAGCATGCCACAGATGAAATAAATAAATAAAAAAGGTGTTAATATACAATGCTGCTTACTTGCGTGATGCAGGCTCCAGTGAAAGCCACTATGACAGCCACAACATTGACAGTAAGCTGGAACTGGAGAAATTTGGAAATGCTGTCATACACGTTTCGGCCCCACATAACTGCCTTGACGATGCTGCTGAAGTTATCATCAGTAAGAATGATATCTGATGCCTCCTTGGCCACATCTGTACCAGCTATACCCTGGAATGGAAATGAAAAACATGAATCTATTTTCAAGCAAATGTGGTTTTAATTTGATTTCCAAAAAAAGAAGTTAAACAACGAGTCAAATTATTGCAACTAATTTAGTCTCTGTTTAAACTGGCTAAGAGAAATATGAAATGTAAAAAAAAAGAAAATACACTGAATGTTAAGTTTGAATACAGCTAAATGTTTTGCAAGAAAGATTGAGAAATTAAGATGGAATGTAGTAAAGCAGTGAGATTAAATGCAGTTCAAAAGATAAGAAATATAAGATAGAAAATGTATAAAAGTTTTTAAAAAACAGTTGTAAGCAGTCGTTGTTGTTGCTATCGATGAACTAAAACTGATACGACACTTAAAACTCCTGATTCATTGTAATATATTTGTACTTTCATATCTAAATTATTTGTAAATGACTGCATCCTCATTTTATTAATGTATTTTTAGATAAGGTATTTGGGGAATTGGAATTTGATGGATAATTTATTTTGCATCCTGCATTGTTTTGCGAGCTACAACAAAGGAATAACACAGAAAGCTTCTTAAAGCTGATCTGCAGCCTCTAAGAAAATATAGACTGTGGACAAAAGTTAGCTATGATAATTTGTTAAGATGAAGCATAATTAAGGAGTCAATGTTTATGCTGGAGGGCCATATTAACTTATGGGGACTCCATTCCCATATTCTGTTATAATTTGCGAGGCACAGCATGTAGCAATGCAAACCTTTCTATGATGTAGCAGAATTTGAACAAGTTTCTCTTATAATGTAAGAATACTACACCAATGACAAATTTTTTTTTTTAAGTGTTCAGTGGAGGTTCAATCATGTCCCTTTCATAAAGTCACATTTTATATTAAATATTAAAAGACCAAAGCTGTGGTTTAACATGCTTGCTTTATTGGTACTACAAGCATTGCATCTTCTGTTAAAGCTTGACAATTGGGAAACTTAAAGAGACCCTATGAAGAATGAATTTATTTACTATCAATGTATTCTTAATTAGACAAGAAAACATTTGCTAAGTATTCAAAAACATATCAAAAACTGTATAGTGGGGAACTGGGTGATTATATCTACCCACTAGGGGGAGCTATTAATCTGCACATTTAGAGTAAGGTTGTCTGAAAAGAAACCTTAAATAATTCAGAGGTGAAAATGATATTTTCAGATGTTGAATGAGAGCAGACTCATATGAGGGCATGTGATTAAAGAACTTAGACATAAAACCAGAAGAAAGATGGTTAGCTTACCATGGCAAACCCAACATCAGCTTTCTTGAGAGCAGGTCCATCATTGGTTCCATCTCCCGTCACAGCTACCACCTGCCTCTGGTCAGCCATAGTGCTGTCAATAATTCCTGTCAAAAAACACAGGCATGGGCAGTAGGGAAAAGTTATGAGTCAACCTGAAGTGAGAAAGACCATCAAGATCTTATGTGATCACCAAACACAAACCATAGTAGGAGTTTATAGGAGCTGGTTTAACAGTAAACAGATGCCTCAGATCATGCTCACAAAAAAGGTGTATTTTAGGTGAACTACAGTAAATCCATGTAAACAAAACATGTAATTCACCTTTGACAAGTGTGTGTTTGTCCGTGGGGGATGATCTTGCCAGCACTCTCAGTTTAGGCCAAACTTTGTCAATACGCTCCTGTTCCACCTACATATGCATTTACATACAGACGGATGCACACACATACACACACAAACAAGCACACACATATTGAAAATAGAGGTTAAAGTTTAGGTATTTTTCTTTCTCTTTGTCTCTCTTTAACTCTGACATCTGTTCCCTTACCTCTCCTTTCTCATTGCGGATCCTCCTGTTGAATTCTTTGCCATCAATGCAGAGAAAGTCCTCTCCTGGATGGATGATACCACACTTGATGGCTATGGCCCTGGCTGTGTTTATGTTGTCTCCAGTCACCATGCGCACTGTGATGCCTGCACGCTGGCACTTCAGAATTGCATCGGGCACCTTAATGAGTAGTTTAAACAGACACAATGTGTTAAAATGGAAGATTTATCTCGTGAATTATATAAACATTTACATAATATACATATAATGATGTACACATTACTTATTCTAATCTGAGTTAACAACTTTTGTCCTACTTCAGCAAACAGAAACAAGCTTAGACATAAATCTGACATGTCATCACCAAGCCTTTTCATGAAAAGTCTTTTTTGGATACATCAACCAGAAATACCCATCACAGCCAGTGTATCTGACAACCTGACGGATGTAATCTGAGTTTTTGCAGGTTCTCTCACTAGTTCTGTTTTCCATTTCCCCAGAAGGAATTGTTGACTTGATTGTTGATCTGTCTGCCATTTGGTGGTGTTGTTACAGCTGGTTTTCAGCACTTCAATACTGAGCTGTCTGCTGAACAGTAAAGCTGTAGGCTGGTAAACCCAAAGAATGAGCTATTTGCTATGTGGAATGTAATCCATATTTAATACAAATCTATTTATTAAAGTTACATATGTGTAAAAGTACATCAAAGATGTATATTGGAGAAATATCATATTCTTAACTAATTTCATCATCATCATCATCATCAATTGGTTTAAGGAAGCTTATCAATCAAGTTTCATCACCTAAAACAATTCTCCAGTTTACAAAAATATAGCTTTTGTTCGGATTTAGTTCTTGCTGGCAAAGGTCAGTGTGGGTGAGACATGCTCACCAAACCCACATAAGCAAATGCATACACATAAATTGGTAAGAATTCCGACTCACACACACAGGTTCACATGACAATTTCACGCAAACACACAACTTCACAAGTGCACATGACACAGGATTGAATTCAAATAAATCACTAACACAAAATACATATATAACTTACATTTAAAGGCAAAATAAGCATGGATTAACTGAGCTATTGAAAATGATCCAACCAATCTTTATAGAGAAGCAGCAACACTCATTAATGAGCTTGAAGTTGATACAACAAAAACAAATCTATTTCTTAGAGACTTGTGTAACTTTAGCTATGGAAAGCATATTTGCAATTCAATGCATTCGCTGACATCTTTGAAAGAGTAACATTTACAAAAACCTGATTAATTATGGTAAGACTAAAAGAAAAATATGATAATTACATTGTAAATACTATGAATAATCTTTCAGGATGATAAAATTCCACATGCACAAGTTGAAACAATTTATTATATGGCATTTTGAGTGTTATCAACGGAATGAGGAAAAATCAAATGGAGCCAGTTATTACTGTAAAAATGTCAAGGTATGAAGTTATAATTTACAGTACCAGTCAGTCATCTCTGATTTTTCTTTAAGTTTTCATCTTTTGCCCAGTTGACATATAATCCACAAAATTAGGTCAAAAGTATACTGGAGGCTCACTGAAAACTACAGTATGGTTCTTCCAGAGGAAACTAGTAAGAGTCTGGAGGTTAAATTGAAAAACAAGCCTCTTGAGTCCCTGATAAGGATCTAGTTACAGTCTTGTTTTCTTCCATTTGAGTCCTTACTCATCTTCCTCTTCTTCCTGCATTCCATCACCTCTCTGACATGAATCTTATTTGTAATCTGTTTATCTGTCTCGGTCTGTATATCTATTTCAGTCTCTGTCTATCTCTCAGTCCCTCCTCTCTTCTCTATTGTCTCTGGGGCAGCTCTACACAGCAGCCACTTATTAAAAGAACATCACTTTCTGGAGGAAGAAATTAGAGACTAATAAAGGCATAAAACATATGTTTAGCAGTGTGTGTGTCACCTTTTGTTGCAAAGGGGACAGTAATCTAATTAACAGTATTAATGTTTTCTTGACAATAAACAAGTAAAAGAGCTGTGGATCATTGTTTTTTGTACTGCTTTTTCATAATAGTTATTCAACATGACAGATACATTTCTAGGGTAGAGAAAAAGCTTTGAGACTGTAGCAACTATATTAAAAAGTGATGCATAAGAAATGTTTCAGCAACTAAGGGAACTCTGTTGGGTTCTGTTGGCCTTCCTTTTCACATATTTTGTGCTACTTTAAAATTCACACATTTTGTACACTCTGTAACCGGGTTTGAAATGCAAATAAAAACCCACATAGCACTGTAATGCAGAAGGAGTTCTCGTAAACATGTTTCGCTGTAGCTGTGGTTGTTCGGTATTTTTCTTTTCTCAGTCTTTATCTGGGTGTAGTCAAATGTTTATGTAACTCGGCTTCAGATGGAGAGATGCATAGAGCCACAATAATATAAAGAAAGGTAGGTGGAGTGGAGGGCAAATGAACAAGAGCACCCAAAGGAAGGAGGAAGTGACATTTTACAACACAAAAAGAGGTGGAAAAGTGAAGAAAACATGTTCGGGTGAAGTAGAATGAGAGAGCGAGGAGAGGAATAAGATAGATGAAAGGAAGAGGCTGAATAATGCAGTAGTCTGTTAGTTTCATACTCTGCCGTCACTGGAGCAGTTAATTGAGGTCAACTTTTTTACTTCACTAAATTCCTCCAACTGGAACTATTCCCTTTCTCCAGCAAAATGTTGCCAAATAATTTTGTGATACATCAGTTATTGCACAATCCAACTTTTCTAAATTGCTTTTGCTTCTACGGCACTGAGGACAAGTATAGTAGTAAGAAGTAAATAAGTATTAGAAAATAAAGAATGGACACTGCTAGGGATTTAAACATGTAGCTAAATTGTTTCTCTAGTAAATTGTTTAGTTAACAATCCATATACAGAAAATGTGAAAATGTGGAAATGCACAGCGGAAAGGGACGGCAGAAATAGTTTGCATTGACTTATGAGTGAAACTGCTTCTGCTTTAGTAAGAAGGCAGGCCTTTGACGGAAGCAATCAATACCTTATTTCTAATAATCCTTTATGATGTATTCCACACTGTCCTACCTCTGGTCTGACAGGGTCTTCAATTCCAACAACACAGATGGCTGTGAGGTCATTGAGGATGTTGTTCTCATCTTCCCAGTTGGGTTCAGGATTGCCGGAAAAGTCACGATACCCTACACAGATGGTCCTTAAACCATCACATGCCATGGGCTCAATCACTTTCTTCACCATGTCATCCTTGTCACGTGGACGGAAAACCCTTGCCTCACCTACTTCGTTAAGGACATGGCTGCACCTGTGAAAAAGGGTTTGGTGTGAGGGGGTTAGATTAAGGTTCATAAAGCAGCTTTAAGATTATTTAACATCCCAACAAAAACCATTGATGTAATTAAGGCTGACACCTTGAGAATAAGCAGGCATGTTTGTTAGTTTCTAAATGTGTGTAATTTCTTTTTTTTTTCTGTCTTGCTCTTGCCTCTTCTCCACTCGCACAGTGAGTCTCAAGGTACATGGAATTGTTGCTACCTGCTGCTACAGCACTATCCAGCCACCTGTTTCCCAAATCATGCAGTAAATTCATTGTGTAAAACCTGGTGCTGCTTCTCTTGTAAGGACTCAAAATCGTGCTCAGTGTGTGCTGGTTAGCAATCCTGATAATCATTAGATGTTTAGTCCTTACATTGTCAGCTACCAAACATTTACACATAGACACAATGGTTTAACTGACACAAGGCTTACATTACCAGAGTCTCATATTACCCATTACTGTAACTTTCTAATATCATTAAAAGCAGTGTTAGTGTCATCTTCTGGTAGGGGGGAGGATTTCAGCAGGGTCAGATTAGTGGATTCCTACCAATTTACTGAAGAAAAAGGCTCAGTATGAAAGAAATGCAATTAATTTGTTGTGAGAAAAACAAATGTACCATTTAAGGAAGTACTGATATGTTTAAGGGGACATGCATATTTTCATATTATCAAAATGTATTTTAAAGTCAACAACAGCTGGGAAACCATAAGAAATAAGAAAAGTACTGCTTTATATGTCTAGTATATGGAACTTTATCATTATTATTTTAAAGCTGACTGAACCTGAAATGAGACTCAAAGTAATAACATAAGTCACTGAATAACTTTAAAGAATGACCAAGTAGAGCGGCAAAGGACTATTGGGTTACAATTATTTTGTGAACTTTTGATGAGGATACAATGATGTGCGTGTACTGGCATACAGTCAAATTCAACATCATGTTTTTTCTTTACATTGGCAAAGAAAGATGTGCAACCAACACCACCTAATGTCATGAAAATAAACTTGCTTAGTATATAACTCATTTTACTCTACTAGGAACAAGCAGTATGGACAATGAATGAGTTAACTTGTTGAAGCAATGTAATTAAATTGTATAGCTCATGTAATATAAAAAATAACTTAATTCTCACTCACTTTTTCAGTACAATCTCAGAGGCTCCCTTACTGTACATGCGGAAGTTCCCATCAGGAAGTTTGATGACCGTGCTCATTGACTTCCTGACAGAGTTGAAGGTGTAGACTTTGTAAAGCTTCTCCTCGGGGATCTGGTTTCTTATTGGCTGATAATCACGCTTCAAGTCCAAAACCAATCCCAGCAGGCCACACTCTGTCTTGTTGCCCACCTGCTTTGGAAGCCCGCCCTCCTTATCTGGGGGCTGCAGAGAGGTGGGGAAAAAGATTTTATTTTCTTTATTTTCAGAAAATGTTTTTAAAAATAATTTTTCAAAGAGCAGTCTTAAAAAATAATCTATCTATCTATCTATCTATCTATCTATCTATCTATCTATCTATC